TTTCAAAAGTAAAATCATGGAAAAACCATTTGTTCATAAATTTCTGGCCACTACTGTAAGTAAACAACCACCATGCATCGAGTATCGAGGTAATTTAGCGGTCGAATAATTTTTGGTAATCTCAAGACGGAATGCCCAGTATTCACTATCAAATTTATTCGAGCATCCCATTCATCCTCAAGAACTCTAGAAGGTGTAGCGGTCGAAAGGTGTTTGAGTTTACAATTATAACGCTAATGAAATGATATTGAAATGAAATGCATTATCTGCAATCTGGTTTCGAGTAATCTCTACGTTCGTACGCATATCGTTATTATCAGTCCTCATCTGTCGTTATCACTTTTTGACCCCCACCAAATATGTTCCCGTCCCACCCCCATATCATGTCCCAAAATCAGCTCCTGACGACTGCTGCGAAGCGCACTATGAATTTCGTGAAATTTGTGTTTCAGCGCCTCTTATCTGCTCTTATCAGTCGTTATCACTTTGTGACCCCCACCAAATATGTTCCCGTCCCACCCCTATATCATATCAAAAAATCAGCTCCTAACGACTGCTGCGACGCGTGCTATGAATTTCGTGACACACACACACACACACACAGACAAGGCATAGCGTTCGTCCGCAAAATGAAGTGAGTGATAAGGCGACCAATGGAGTAAACAGGCAGCTTACAAGCTCGCAGGGCTTGACCTATCGCTGCTTTGCAATGGCATGGTTGTGATAATAAAACAGTGGCTATATAAACACCTACTTAGCCCACTCTTGTTATTCACATGTTGCTACAATGGCGGTAGAGCAGTGGAGAGGGGAGAGGAGGAAATGGAGAGGAGGTGGAGGAAATCTTTTCACAGTGGAACGCGTCAGATCCGCAATGAAGGGTAGGTCCTGTGCTGTCGCGGAGGGACTAAACTGATTTACAATTAATGAATTTCACCTGCGACTGTTTCCCAAACAGGAGTGGTGAACGAATCGGCCACATCCGAGGCGCAAGCATTGCCTGTCTACCAGAATGGTTTCTATCTAGGGCACTCCAACTTCCTGGCTGCTCCACATTATGGGAATCAACTTAACGAGGCCTCTAAGGAAGATGCTATCAAGACGGCTGTGACTCCTCGTCAGGTATGAAGAGCTGGAGAGAAATTAACATCAGTATCATACTAGCGCGTGCAACAGATTGCCGAGATGTCCGAATACGCATGGAAACGGCTTGACGAAGAAAAGAAGCAGCAGTACGCAATCAATCTTTGGCATGAAGGTGCACATTCTTAAATCGCTTTAGAACGAATTCCGCTCCTTTTGATCTGAAGGAGGGGAATTAGGTATAGTGTCGACTAGCACAAAATTAGTGCTATGGTAAGGTAGCTGCACTTATCGAGCGGTCCCATCCAGGGTCGGTCCTATTGTTGGCACTTTTTGCAAAATTTTTGCGACCCCCCTCCTTCACGAGAAGTTTCATGCAACCCCCTCTTACAGGCAATTTTACCCTCAGAAAACACCATCGAGCGAGGGGTGGGGTACATAAATACCGAAACAAGTACTACCCCCCACCGTCACAAAACCTCACAACTTACGACCTCCCCCCGTTGTTACTTGTAGCAACGTAGGGTTGACCCTGGTCCTCATCACGGAAGCAGCATTCAATATGGCTGGCGGACAGCTCACCCAGATTTCCACTGTGCCAGGAAATCGTGGGGAAATTGAGGCGTAACAAAGTTCACGTGGATGAGAATTAGGTAGGATAAGAGAGGTTTCAGATACCAGAAAAAAGGGCATGGAGCCCGGAGATGAAGAAATTCTAAATTTATTGGTGGACGAAGCTACGTCGAGGTGGGCGGGCAGTGCCCGAAACCTTATAAAACGTTGAGAGACGGGTCCCCAAATAACTTAGGATAAAAAAAAGAAAAAACGGAGAGGTAATAAGGAAGGTGAGGCCAGTGCAGTTGTGATGAAACGAGTTGAAAAAGTGAGTCCAACTTAAATTTGCCAATAAAGCCTTCTGTTTTGCTCTGGGAGAGTTCAGGAACTGGAAAAGATGTGCATAGGAGGACCGCGTATGACGCGCGCATAAGCATACGGAGCGAGAGCCTGTTAGTAGTTGTCCTGACGAATAGCAAATTGAACAGATTTAGAACAAGAGGAGGTTGAGAACCGGAAACATTCCAAGTGAAATGACTGGCTGAAGACGATTAAGAAACCAAGTAAGGTCTCACTCGCCTTCGTTTGTTGCTTGCAATCACATTATAAGGAATGGATGAAAGGGTAACCAAGATCAAGGTCTGGAGGCATCACGGATATCCCAACAGGGTGTCTTGGCCTCGCTGGTCTCTGCTCTTTTCAGCAGAGACAGGCCAGACGAAGGCCAAAAACGTTCTTCCTCCGCACCCATTGTGATTGCCGTTCAAGTTATTCGTCCTCATAATTTTGCACGGTAATCACAAGCGAAAGGTGAAGGAGAACGGTAGCGTTGCGTGCACAATCCTTCACGATCAGGGTTCCAGGCAACTTTTTGACCAATTAGAAGCTGCAGCCTCGGCCTGGAATGTGTCTTTATCATCAGAGCTGTGATGAGTTTATTTCAGGTTCACGTCCAATCTGTCAACCAAGACTTCATTTCTCCTCCAAGCGATCAGACCGACCAACAACGACTGCAGACAAACAGCAGTCAGTGAACATTTTTTGAATTCTGTTTAATTACATGAAATTCGAGAAGTTGATGGATTTGGAAGCAGTGATTGCGATTCGCCGAGCTTTCCAATCATGCAATACCTAATACTACATATACTTACCAAATAATTCTATAACAATAAATTACGCTAATGCTTTATCAGAGAACTTTTTGTCTATGTTTCGGATCACTAATTCACCACATCTACACTGCGTTCCATAATTATACGTCCACCTGAAAATTTCCCAAAATCTCACCAAAATAGATGTTTCGAAAAATGTCTTCAATGTGACAATGTATCATATATAAATAATGCGGAATTGCTTATGAACATCAATTTCCTATTTAAGATCCTAGGATTTTTTTCCAATAATTTTTGTCTAAAAGGCCACTCTGCCGACGTCCCAAAATTATACGTCCACCTCACGTTTATCGACTACTTTTCACTTTTGTTCCACGAAACTTTTTCATTGTAGTAACACTTCACTTCTTAAGGGGACTGCATAATAAAAACGGCTGTTGGATTTTGAAGAAGGTTAGGTTGTCGCAAAAATTTGGAACAACGCCAAGCTAAAGAACTTCTTCAGGGATTTTACATGATATGGAGTTCAGAAGAGCTTTAAGGGTCTCTCATTACTTTTCGAACGAAATCAAGGCCGTGTCACAAAAGAAACATCCACTTTCATCCAACGGTGCTCTGTCATCGAATCTTCTTCAGAACTTTAATGCCTCAACCAACTTTTGTTTCATGCGTGTGAAGGAATCCCAAGATCATTCTTGATTAGTAAATGTGAAAGGCATTCATTTGTGGCAAGGAATCGTGGCGAAAACTGGGCTGATTTTTGCATGAAGGTGCAGCCGAGCCGACCGAGGCAAGGTTCGTTTTTGCTTGCCATGCATAAGTGCTTCTTTGTCTCTTTTTCACCATTTTCTTTCTTCTAGTAGTGCTTTACTGAGAAAAAAAAGCCACTGTGGGAAAGGTAAACGTGAGAACAAAAACAAACAAATGCTAAAACATATCGAGCAGAAGGGAACCTGACTTCAGTCGGCTCGGCTGCACCTTCATGCAAAAATCAGCCCAGTTTTCGCCACGATTCCTTGCCACAAATGAATGCCTTTCACATTTACTAATCAAGAATGATCTTGGGATTCCTTTCACACGCATGAAACAAAAGTTGGTTGAGGCATTAAGTTCTGAAGAAGATTCGATGACAGAGCACCGTTGGATGAAAGTGGATGTTTCTTTTGTGACACGGCCTTGATTTTCGTTCGAAAAGTAATGAGAGACCCTTAAAGCTCTTCTGAACTCCATATCATGTAAAATCCCTGAAGAAGTTCTTTAGCTTGGCGTGAATTTGGTCCAAATCTGGCGTGAATGCGTTGTTCCACAGTTTTTGCGACAACCTAACCTTCAAAATCCAACAGCCGTTTTTATTATGTCCCCAGAAGTGAAGTGTTACTACAATGAAAAAGTTTCGTGGAACAAAAGTGAAAAGTAGTCGATAAACGTGAGGTGGACGTATAATTTTGGGACGTCGGCAGAGTGGCCTTTTAGACAAAAATTATTGGAAAAAATCCTAGGATCTTAAATAGGAAAGTGATGTTTCATAAGCAATTCCGCATTTATATATGACACATTGTCACATTGAAGACATTTTTCGAAACATCAATATTTGTGAGATTTTGGGAAAATTTAGGTCCGGCAAAATTACCTATCGGCAAAAGTTTAGGCCTAACGATCGTAACAAAATCCACGAGCTGTCCAGCTCAACTGATCCTTAATTCCTTGGCAAATGTGACGGCAGTCCTTAACATCGCGCGCTGATGGAGTGGCGCGAAGTCGGCACTTCTTCCTACACTGACTTGAGAAGAACACGATCCATCCTCCTTTTTTTGCATCTGGCATTGCATATGCGCGGGGAGCTAAACTGGCATTTGAACCAATGTTCTACTGTCGTCGCAAGGATTGATGGCACATTGATGTCACTTGCATTCTGACCTATCCTATTAGGCGGTATAAGCTGCCAAAAATGCACGTACTTGAAAGCTTCGGTTCGAAATAATGCTGTAACTCTAGGAAAGTAGAAGGAACTATGTTTGGTCACTTTGAAATGTCGCTATCTTTTCTGTCTTCGTTTCTCAGCTAGAACACAACCTTCGTAATATGGCAAACCATTTATTCGAGAGAGCGATTCAGCGCGCATACAGCGAAATCTCAGGTCGCGCGGTGTGCTGATGTTCTTCGGGCCAAAACTTTTGCTCGAAGATGATTTATCACAAAACATCGTCCGAGCGTATGTTCAAGCAAGGAGAAACGGCCTACGAGACTCGCTCATTGAGTGCGAAATATTGAGCAGGAACACTTGCTGCACTTTGACTATGGTTTCAGCTGCTTCAAGACTGCGATAATAGGAATTGAGGAGAGCCCTGGATAATCGATCTGTACTAGAGAAAATGAAGATCTGGAAGAAAACCCACACTTGAGTCGTAACTTACACAAGAAAACCTCACAGAAACTCTTAAGGGAAGGCGTTTGGCGTGTCAACTTGTAAAATTTAGAGTTTCTACCGTGCCCGGATAAGGTCTTTAGATAGAAAATGGGTTGAACTATTTTGAGGCGACCGGCAAACAGTACTGTTGCCGAAATGTCTGGAGACTCTTTTCTATAATTCTAAGAAGAAAAAGGTTCTTAAAGTCGTTTCAAGCGCGCACCTCACAATAGGATGCTACCCGATAACAAAGTGAGACGATGGCAGCGGTTGGAAGCAGATGTTCTGCTCAGAATGACACGAAACTCGGAATCCGCGGAAAAAGTCCTGCTTCTATATAGTGTTACAGTAAAGGGTGCAATAAAAGACATTTGCCCATGTCGCCACTTCGGCCATTTTTCTCCGCAGAGATTGCCGGGTCCCTAGCTAGAAATTCTCAGCCAGGGTAATTCCATGATCCCGACTGAAGATCGCTCAGTGCACCATAAAATAAAGTCTGGAGAGACTTTTTTCTGATGTCGTCAACGTCACGGTGGCCCAGCTATGATGATTCTCTGTAAAATGAATGTTGCTATTCAATACTGAGTTGGGACCACTCGCTTTGAAACGAGCAAAGTATCATTAAATTGTATCTGAATGTGGAGACCAGAATATCTTTTTTATTGCCCCCCCTCGTACATGACTGGCCTACCGTGGAGTGCCGACTGTTGGTCAGACAGTTATAGCTGAAACCGTAACCAACGATAGCCCGCCTGCGTTTGGGGATTTAGATTCTCTCCCATGCTGTTGAAACTGTCCCTGGTGCAGTGGCAAAACTCGGCGCCTGTCATCCGAGGTTCAAGTTCGAGAGTGGCGCGAGTTTTGCAGATAATGTAGTGAAGCTGGCGGTTTCAAAGAGGTCATGTCCATTTCCACGTTCCTTATTCCTCGCGAATGGGGAATGCGCCAAATGTGTTCCCTGGCTTCTTTTACCGCTTGATACAGCTGGACAGAGTAGTGTTTATTGCGTGGCGTATTCGAGAGAAGAGATAAAAAAGCAGAAAACAACATCATATATACTCGATATCGGTGAGTTGGGGTGGGCGTGTCACCGGAAGTGACGTGCACTTGATAGAAACTATGTGGATAAGCTGCTTCCAACATACATCGCTGGCTATCAGCAAAGCATGCTGGCAACAGCTTATCCACGCACTTCTATCAAGTGCACGTCACTTCCGGTGACACACCCACCCCAACTTTCGGATATCGACTGTAATCAGATCAAATGAATATCAAGTGAAGGCTCATGTGCTGTGTTGTTGTGCTTAATTACGCGAAATGTTTTTCAGGATTCGGTGTACGTCGCTATTCCGAATGATCTTTATCCTGCATACCGCAAAACCATGGGTGAAAAGGAGAGGATCGCCACAATAACGGCTGTTCATTCCCCTGACGTTGTAGCTGACGATGGCAAGTTTAATGAATTTTCATCGACACGAAGATGGAAACAGTTTGAGAACATAACAGTATTCTCACCAAAATTGCCGAATTAGTGGCATCTCGTGCGATTGCTATTATGGAGCAGCTCACCGGTTTCATGGGGCGTCCTACAATTATGAGGGTTCAATTATGTAGCTTGTGAGAATCACTGATGCTGCTTCTCATTGTCTTCGCTTGATGAACAAAAGTTCGTCCCGAATTGGGTGAATTTCAACATCAGCCACGCTCAGACGATGTTTTCTGATCAATCATCTTCGAGCAAAAGTTTTGGCTCGAAGAACATCCGCTCACTGGCGCCTAAGATTTCGCAATATGCGTGCTGAATCGCTCTCTCGAATGAATGGTCTCCCATATTACGAGGTTGTGTTTCAGCTGAGAAACAAAGCACAAAAGGAAGCGACATTTCAAAGTTACCAACCATAGTTCTTTCTCTTTTCCTAGACCTACAGCACTACTTCAAACCAATGGAGCTTGGTTCTCGGCGGTTTAGCCCACCTACGGTTGGCTTTCGGCTTCATTATCATATCCTCGAGTGACACGTGCGTTTCAACGTGTTTGACAGCTGATACCGCCTAATAGGATAGGCCAAAATGCAAGTGCCATCAATGTGGCACCCCAGTAGAACACTGGTCTTTACACACCGCGCGCATATGCAATACCTGATGCAATAGAAAGAAGGATGCATTGTATTTCTCAATATCAGTGTAGAAAGAAGTGCCGATTTCGCCGCTCCATCAGGGAGCGATGTTAAGGCCTGCTGCCACATTTGCCAAGGAAGTAAGGATCACGTGGGCTGGACAACCTATGGATTATGTTACGATCGTTGAACCGAAACTTTACCGATAGATAGCTCGGGACATAAAACGAGCAGCAGAGCAGCGGTTTTTTCGAACACACTTCCTTATGGAAACTCCACAGGAAGAATGAACGGCTACGTTTCCGGTAGGCGAAGAGCGTATTAGAGTTCTCTGATACGCCACAGGATAATGTGGAGAGGCACGATCCCTGCTCAAGCAAGGAGAGGATATGTCGCACATGTGAGGTAGGTGCGGTGAATTACACGTGATCCGAAACTTTGACCAAAAGTTCTCTGATAAAGTATTAGATTAGTATTTATTATTATATAATTATTTAGATAAGTATATGTAGTATTTGGTGTTGCATGATTGGAAAGCTCGGCGAATCGCAATCACTGCTTCCAAATCCATCAACTTCTCGAATTTCATGTAATCAAACAGATTCAAAAAATGTTCACTGACTGCTGTTTGTCTGCAGTCGTTGTTGGTCGGTCTGATCGCTGGAGGAGAAATGAAGTCTTGGTTGACAGATTGGACGTGAACCTGAAATAAACTCATCACAGCTCTGATGATAAAGACACATTCCAGGCCGAGGCTGTAAGCTTCTAATGGTAAAAAAGTTGCTGGAGGCCCTGATGTGAAGATTGTGACTCAAAACGCTACCGTTCTCCCTTCACCTTTCGCTTGTGATTACCGTGCAAAATTATGAGGACGAATAATCTTGCACGGCAATCACAATGGGTGCGGAGGAAGAACGTTTTTGCCCTTGTCTCGCCTGTATCTGCTGAGAAGAGCAGAGACCAGCGAGGCAAAGACTGCCTGTTGGGATATCCGTGATGCCTCCAGACCTCGATCTTGGTTACCCCTTCCTCCATTCCTCCTCATAGTGAATTGCGCCAACAAACGAAGGCGAGTGAGCTTACCTGTTTCTTAATTGTTTCAGCAGTCATTTCACTGGAATGTTTCGTTCCATCACTTCCTCTTGTTCTAAATCTGCTGTTTGTCAGTATAACTACTAACACGTTGTTCTTCCGTATGCTTATACGCGCGTCACAAAGGGTCCTCCTATGCACATCTTTTGCAGTTCCTGAACTCTCCCGGAGCAAAACAGAAGGCTTTCTTGGCAAATTTAGATGGGCTCACTTTTTTGCTCGTTTCACTCACCACTGACATCATGCTCCCTTTCTATATTAGCTCTACTTACTTTTCCTAATTTTGGAACCGGCTCTGTACCGATTTATAAGGTTTCGGGCAATTCACGCCCCCCACCGACGTCTACCTAAATGTACTTCTTGCTCTCTGATCTCTACTGCCTCATGTTTTTCTGGTCCTCTGAACCTCTCTTATCCGATCCGACCTTATTTTTATCCCCCGAAACATTGTTGCGGATCCTCCATTTTCCCCCACGATTTTCCTGTCACAGTTGGAAATGGAGTGAGCTGTCCGCCGCAGCCAACTGAATGCAGGGGGGGGGCGGGGGCGGGGGGATGCTTCCATGATGGGACCAGGGTCAACCCTACGTTGCTAGAAGTAACAACGGGGCGAGGGATCGCACTTTGGGGTAGTTTGTTGAGGTTTGTGTTGGGGGTCGTACTTGTTTCGGTAGTTATATATCCCCCCTCGCTCGACGTTGTTTTTTGAGGGTAAAATTGCCTGTAAGAGGGAGTTGCATGAAACTTCTCGTGAAGGAGGGGGGTCGTAAAAAATTTTGCAAAAAGTACCAACAATAGGACCGACCCTGGATGGGACCCGCTCGACAAGTGCAGCTACCTTACCATAGCACTAATTTTGTGCTAGTCGACACTCTTACTAATTCCCCTCTTCCATCAAAAGGACGCGGAATTCGTTCTAAAGCGATTTAAGAATGTGCACCTTCATGCCAAAGATTGATTGCGTACTGCTGCTTCTTTTCTTCGTCAAGCCGTTTCCATGCGTATTCGGACATCTCGGCAATCTGTTACATGCGCTAGTATGAAACTGATGTTCATTTCTCTCCAGCTCTTCATACCTGACGAGGAGTCACAGCCGTCTTGATAGCATCTTCCTTAGAGGCCTCGTTAAGTTGATTCCCATAATGTGGAGCAGCTACAGAGGAGTGCCCTGTGCATTTCTGGCAGAAGACATGTAGCTCGGATGTGGCCGATATCGTTCACCGTACTGTTGCGAAACAGTCGCAGGCTTAAATTGCACACAATTATAAATCAGATTGGTCCCCCGGACAGTCGCCGGGACCTCCCTTCACTGCGTAATCTTGACGCCTTCCACTGTGAAAAGATTTCCTCCACCTCCTCTCCATTTCCTCCTCTCCTCTCTCCACTGCTCTACCGCCATTGTAGCAACATGTGAATAACCAAAGTGGGCTAAGTAGGTGTTTATATAGCCACTGTTTTATTATCACAACCATGCCATTGCAAAACAGTGATAGGCAAGCCCTGCGAGCTACCCAGATTTGTTAGCGGCCTGTTTACTCCATTGGCCGCCTTATCACTCACTTCATTTTGCGGACGGACAGACAGACGTGCATACACACAAACAAACCGACACACCAAACTTCTGGTTTATATAATGAAGTGATAGGAAAAGGATAAAGGATAAAGCATTTGCCGTTGATCAATCCCGTTTTGGGATGCGGCACGCATTCTACTTCCATTTGTACATTCGTAGTGGCATTTGAATGCGATGTGGCCTATACAATGACTTGCGGGGGCCAGCCGATGTACAAGTCAGTGTTTTTATCCTCCCAGACAAGTCTGGTACCAATTAACCGACCCGGCAAGACTGAAAGGTCTGGTTGGCCCGAACGAATCGTGGTTGCTTTCATATGGATTTTACCCTCGCGTTATCAATCGATAGGGTCTGATGGTGAGGCAGATAATTGCTGGGCAAGCGTAACCCTATAGAAGATACGATACGATAATATAAGGAGATCCGGCTGCTTGAGAATGAGGGGTACTCTAGAATGAAAATGAGACGATGACGATAACATATCGTATCATACTTACAAGGAATGGACAATTGATCGGTCCGGCCATTTGTAATGAGTGATAGTCCGAGATTCCGATTCTGCTTCTACGCGAGCCTGGTGGGGTGTAGAGGGCGCCAGTGAGATAGCCACAGTGAGAAGAATCCCTCGTAACTTCGTTCAGAGAATCGTTCGGCAAAAACCGAAAACGGATTTGAGCTCAGCGTCGCAAGACGCGTGCATCGGACTACACCTCATTACAAATGGCCGGACCGACCAATTGACCATTCCTTGTCAGTACGCTGCCACTGCTACCCCTTTCGCATCGATACGGTTTCGTTTTTGCTTCCCGAAAGTGGTTTTCGGCCCTTATCACGCCGTTGATACGCTCCACTGACATTGAAACACTACCTGTTCTCTCACTGGGCACGACCTCTACCCACTGGCAGTCCCAAAGTATGTCTGTGCGTGTGTATATCTGTGTGTGCGTGTGTGTCTGTTTGTCACGAAATTCATAGCGCGCGCACCAGCAGTCGTCAGGAGTTGATTTCAAGATATGATATAGGGGGTGGGACGGGAACATATTTGGTGGGGGACAGAAAGTGATAACTACTGATAAGATCTGATAAGGGGCGTTAGAACGCGGAAGTCACGAAATGCATGGCGCGCGACCCAGTAGCAGTGAGGCGTTGTTTGCAGATATGATATAGGGGGTGGGACGGGAACATATTTGATGGGGACCAGAAAGTGATAACAGCTGATAGGGGCTGATAAGAAGCGTTGGAAGGAAAATGTCACGAACATTCACAGCGCAAGGCCCAGCAGCATTGAGGCGTTGCTTTGCAGATATGATATAGGGGGTGGGACGGGAACATATTTGATGGGGACCAGAAAGTGATAACGGCTGATAGGGGCTGATAAGGAGCGTTATAAGGCAAATGTACTGAAGTTCTTATCCAGATGTGGATAAGAAAATACCCATTTCTTCGCTATGTAGTCGTGACTCATTCGACCGCTCATGTGTCCGACCTTCGGTCGGAGTAAAGAATGATGGTGTTAAAATAACGCCAAGATGGTGCCTAATGTGACTAAAATGGCACTACGCTGCGCCGTCATCAAGAATGGGAATCCATGCATTAGCTCACCTTCACAGCGAAAGTTTTAGAGAAAAGCAAGATTTTGACCCAAGTTCATAAAAATTGGCCTTCGTGTACGCCGTAGTCAGTATTTCCTTGGTTTTCGATCGATGACGTGTGAAGTGTGAAGCTTTGACTTTCGCCACTACATAATCAATGTTATGAACCAATACCCTATTCGAGCTCTGCGAAAACCGATATTTTCAAACCATGGGTCGATAGCATTTGATTCGGGAAAATTTTCAAATTTTACCACATCACCCAATAATACCGAGATTACCCGCCACATTTGAGCCATCCACTTGAAAACCTGATACTTCAGACAGAGGTTTTGGCATCATGTCGAGCCCCACCTACTACAGTAACTGCTTCCACCAAGCTCTCCATGCCCTAAGTTTAACCGCTCCATAATCGAAACAATACAGGTTCTCGCACATTTAAGGAGATTTCGGGCCAAGCCCCGCACCTCGGATCGTTCTCCGCCCACAGCCTCACAGACTTTTAGACCAGGCCTACTTTCAAGCATGACGCCCTAGGAGCAACTATCCACTTCTCACTACTGCTTTATGTATAGAAGGATAGGATAGAGTGACAGAGTCTCATCACAGCCATGTCGTCCTGCCATTTAGAAGTAGTTCTCAACACTGATTTGGACCTTGGACCCATTGACAGTTGCTTTCGCTTTCTCACCCCCACTTCCTTGTCAGCCTTCTTCTTTGTTATTCGCCAACTGCGAAGGCAATATTATGTGGAATTATTGCGATATCGCCCAGTGAGTGTTTGTACAGCGTTTGGATTGTACCATCACAATGATGACATCAGTTAGCGATTCTGGAGCACTGAGCTACATCCTAGGCGGGACGCTACCTATAAGGAGGCATCCTCTAGGAGTAAGCCTAGAAAAGGCAACAGCTCCAGGGAATGAAAACGGCCCACACATTTAGGGTCTCACCTCACTCCACCTAGCCTACTCGCATTTTTAGCAAAAAAGGCGTGTTTCACCCCTGTTTCCAACACAATGCCTTGCATACTACGATAGCGTTTGAGGCTTCTGACCAACATAACCTTCAAAGTACACCTATTCGACACGCCAACATTTCGGTCCCCTATGCCACAGTACCCCACTGTCTCACAAACACAAAAAAAAAAGGGTTTTCTCGTCAGGACTCTCTGGGCTAAAACTTCAAAACTTCCGAAGTGGTTTATGCAGCTTGAGACAGACTGCTTCTCTCCGCCTGCTTGTTCCCTTAGTGCATACTTTAGAGTATCACTTTTACAACGATATCCGTCATATTCGACTTTATGAGTATTGATGACCATTGATGAGGGAAATATATTTGTGTATTTTATGGCCTAAGATTGCTACTCCAGGCCGTTTTTTGCCTATTACGTGAAAAGCAGTTATTCGACGGTGCCGGCGTCGGCTGAACTCTCCTACTAGGTTTTATCTAACCTGGTTGTAGTGCATTTCTGATGAGGCAGTTGTAGGTGTTGTTGGTTCACTCTCTATCTCAGCATCATAGTGGAACGGCATCACATTGGGACTTTTCATGAGGTAGTTCACTGACGCCGCACTCACACAATACGATGACTCGATCAAAGCTGAAAACCTTGTTTGTGTTCGGTTAAATAGCGACCTCGATGGTTTCGTGAGCCTAATCTTACGTTTGGTGCTTATCGGCTTCGGAGCGAAATAGTGCTCCGGAACACGTGGAGGAATGGATCGTTGCGTCTGCGGAGGATTCGGCTGAAATGAAGAGATGACTGAAACAATTAGTCAGCTGGGTTTGGCACTCTGTCTCTGAATGCAGCGGGAATTTCCCAGCGTCTGACCACTTCATGTGTAAGATCTCAGTATTGAAAACGGAACGATGGTGAAACCTGTACTGATTCATGATGAACCGGATCACTGCTCTGTTTCTTACGCTCTGCTGTGTAGTAGTAGACGCTCTTGATAAATGGGCGATCAGCCATAGCGAAGAAGTGAGCCAGTAGGAATAATGTCCATCGCCAACCTGATCGAGTTTTTATACGCTACGATAACTTTCTAATAACTTCCAATATCGCTTTAATCCTACTATATATAATCGGCTAAGCGGTTGTGTGTGTGTCTGACCGGAAATTCATAACTTCACTCCCTTTGGACCCAGAGCGCTCAAACTTCTAGGATATATAGGGGGCCGGAGGTGAACACTGATGACGGGTGGCGGGAAGTGATAACTACTGATAGGAGCTGATAACGGACGTCGAAATGTTGATGTCACCAATTTCGTTACGCCGTTCGCGTTGACGGTGGAGAGTTTGCACTCATGTATGATATGTGGGGTGAGGCGGGGACCAAGAAGTTGAGTGAAAGAATGTGGTAGCAACTGATAAGAACTGATAAGGGGCGTCAAAGTGTGGATACCACCAGTTTCGTTGCGGCCCTTGCGGTGACATTGGAACCTTGGCTCTCACATGTGGTATAGGGGATGGGACGGGAACACGGATAGTGGATGATCAAAAGTGATAACAAGCGATAACGGTTGATAAGGAAGTTAGGATTTTGAGTACCGCTAATTTCGTTGTAGCCTTCGTGGTGACAGTAAATATTAGCTCCTACACGTTGCCTGGAGGGTGGTGGGACGGGACTCCGATTGCGAGCCGTATGACCTGATAGCGAATGACAAATGAAAATGACAAAACGAATGAATGACAAGTAATGACAAGAGCGTCTGAATGCAGTTCTCTCCAACTTTGTTGTAATTATCACTGGCAAGCGATCAAGGTGGAGGGTTGAATGTAGGTGACAGAAAGTGGTATGAAAGGCAACTGTACTGATAAAAATAGCGACAATTGAGCGTGCACTCAATTGAACTAAACCAGGTCCCTAGCACGTGAATATGTTCCATTCCTACCCTTTCATCTAAAGAAGCAAAGAAAGTTGAGCTGCTCCAACTATCTGGACTTGGACTAATAGCGAATAAAATCATATTTCCAATTTCCATCATAGCTTTGATGCTGATTGATTGGTTATATTTCACTTACACACCGATTCTTCAATTGTGGAAATTCTATAAACCGCTAAATCGCCCGAGCTCGATATCAATGCTAAATGTTTACGAAGTCATGATAAGTACCATTTTCATTCCGCATGCTACTGCGCGCATTACGCGACAATCTTCAGCGAAAATTGGACAACCTTTAAACATTCATGTGACACATCTTCCAAACATCTTACTGTTAGTTTCTCAGCCACGTGACCTAATATTCTGCAAGTTGTCCAGTTTCACTAAAGCCTCGTATAACTTCGTATAATATATGAAATATATGTATGCTGAACTAAGAGTTTCTGCTTTCAAGAAGTTTAAAATTGCTTAGCGTATCTCAACTTTAACGATTACATGCTTATAAATTTGACGCTGAAGACTGCGTTTCTTGTTGAATGGTGTACTCCTCCCTGTAATTTTACATGAACCCTTTCAGAATCCTTTTTATTATTTCCTAAATTGAGATTCTTCCTCCAGAGAAGCCGTAGTTGAAGAGCTCTCAACTAAACTGGGCACCACTCTGGGATGCCGTGTACTTCACATCTCTTTCAGATTCGCGGACTCACTTGAAAGATAAAATATCCCTTGAAAAACGTGCGAATTTCGGGTTCTTCAACGTGTGTCGTGATAAAACACTGAAGTAACTAAGAATTACTACGCGGACACCTCTGAATCACGAAAATTTTATGTGGGCGGAATAACATTGTTATTGGAAATCCTCTGGCTTCCATGGCATCGATTCGATCCTTGATGTTTGTCCTCCGACGTGATGATCCTACTGCATCAATCGGGCCCGATCTCTTCCTCCCAGCGGGCCAATACGACCCCCCCCCCTGTGACATGTCGAGGATTCCTCAACGCACGCTTGACCCTGCTTTTCGAGGGCATTGAAAATTGCAAGCGGCATTCAGAATCACTCAGGTGGTGCTCCTTGCCTTCACTTGACGCCCCTTCATCGTTCCATATTGCGTCGAAGCGCATTGTTCTAGCGCTGTGATTGTGGACAGATCAATATTACGCATGTCTGGCGTTTTGCTGGGCGCATATTGCGTCTCGCGACAGGCTACGGTCTGCTTTGGTTCACGTCATCGTCATATAAACACTGCTCTGGCTCTTCTATCGACCGTTCTCTTGTGTAATGTCCTATCGGCTTCTTCCAATATTACTAGTCCTTCTATTCTCCTACAGCTCCACAGCTGAAATTATCTCGAAAAATGCTGGTATTTATTTCCGTCTCAATCAAAAAGCTGTCGACTATATCACAGGTACGCTGTTCATGCCTATTGTTCTGAGGGATGTTCTTATTGGCAGGTCCGCGCCCATTGAAAATGGCTATTCATATTTTTGAAAGTGCTGATATTGTAGTATTGAAGCGACCCGTGAACTTTTGTGGCAAATTGGACAGACAAGTTTAGTGTGGTGGAGTTTTACTGATTAGTTAATTAAACCAGTTTTTAGCTCCGCCCGCTGTCGCGCGCATCACAGGGTAGGGAGGAACCACGGAATAGCAGCACGATGTACTCCATTAACCACCTCACTATTGAATGTGTTATACCTCCTTATCCCCTCCTCTCCGGCGCATGCAGCGCCATGTTCTCCCTCCCTTTCTCCTCTTTCCCCCTTCCATCCCTGTTTCTCTCACCCCTCCCTTCCAGCCTCCCTTTCTTGCCCCCTTCTATCTACCCCTCTTCCCAGGGTCAACCGTCACGTTGGACAAATTTCAAAAATTTTACGACCCCTCGACCCCCCTCCTGGAGAGGCCTCCGATACGACCCCCCCCCCAGGGTCAACCCTACCGTTGGTACTTTTTGGAAATTTTTCACGACCCCCTCCACCACCATGAGACTCAGGAGGTCCACCGACCACCACCCTTACCATCAGAGCTGTTACTATAGTATTTGATTCTGAGACCAGTTGACACAGCCCAACTCCACCCACATTCCCTCCAAAATAGCCGTCGAGGGGGGGGGGACACTACGACCCCTCCTCTGGTGTAGGATTGACGCTGCCTTCCGACCTTGCGAATACGACCCCCCTTCTCGTCGGCCGAATACGACCCCCCTCGTTGGACTTTGTTCCAACGGACGGCTGACCCTGCCTCTTCCCCTGCGCTCCTCCGGCTGCCACGGCAGCACCATGTGGGCTCGATCGGTGTTTATATAGCCGCTGTGGGTGTTATCATGATCATGACATCAACATCACGAAGTGTTGCCCTTCGTACTCCCTGGTTTTGTGAGCGGTTGGTCCGGACGGACAGAACGACACACGCACACACACCGACAAACCGACACACCAAAGTTCTGGTTTATATAATGAAGTGATTTATGCTTGAGGTCTTTGGAGAGTATTACGATACCTTCTGTCTATCAGATAATTTCCTTTTGTGCACATCTTTGGCAGGTACCGTGAATTTCATCCACTTAATCTGAAATCTTGTAGAACTGGCTAGTGATGCGATGCCAAAAATTCTGAAACAATATGCACATACCTGACGTCACCGTCGGCTCGGCTACCGTATCAAAGATTCACATCAACCGAGTGGAAAAGCCGACCATTCATGCCAAGTTCATCCGTGACAAAGGTACGTCTTCTGTGATCGTTAAAATATAACATTCTAGTGGGAGGGAAAGAAGAAGCTGAAGAGGGTGTAGGCCAAACTTTTCACTTAAAGGAGGGAGAACGAAGGTCGAAGAAGGGGTTTACCATACATGAGCTGCGATCTAGCATGGTTTTCCTTTGGCGCCCTGCGGAAAGTATGTAATGAGTGAGGAGCAAAGAGAGAGTGCATGTTGAAGAGTGTCAGGAGTGACAGTTGCAATCATGCGCTAATCAACGGAAAGAGGGGTCCCATTTCTTGGGTTTTGGGCCTTTCACACTATCCTTTAAAGGAGGATTTCACAGACTTAACAAGAACCCTGTCGAATAAAAGCGAAACTGGATTTATTTGAGAGACACACACGATCCAATTTAGTTGCATTAGTTCACTTACATTTTCAAGACAAATCAATAGCTGAGAAAGCGTCGAACTGGGTAGAATTTTTTGTTCATCTGTTGAAATTGTGAATTTTGCAAGCTCTTGCAGAAGTGATTCCTAAGTAGTGTTCATTGAAGGAATGTGCCGCCCCTCCAGACCCTGGGCAAATCTCGGAAGCTGGGAGGGGCACCATTATTTGCAGAGCTCGTACCCACTACACCTCTCCCCGTCCCCCTAACTAATTACTCAGTCATTATAAAAGGCAGGGAAGAAGAGGGAGGGCGGAAGAAAGGAGTGGAAGCGTCTTCCCCGCCTTCATAGCTCCCCCCCTCCTACCTAGGCTTAGTCCTCTCAACAGTCCCCCCTCCTCCCTCCCTCAACTACTTCAGCGCCCAACATTCTTTTCTCTGAAATGAGAAGGAGATACACTTCTTGGTATTTTGTGGAGTACGATGCAGATTGCTTCAGAATTTCAGAAACATCATGTTTTCTAGGTGTGCGAGCAAATGTCAGCCTTCCGTTCGTGCGTACAAGTGCCGACTGTAGCGTCGATTCTTTCTTCACCCTTGATGGTCAGTGGTTTTAACTCGTTTTGTTGTACCATGATCGTCTGAGCGATCCGCTTACATTCTTTGTTTATTTTTCAGCGAGAGCGAGAGTTAGAGTGCCTTCTGGCAAAGTCACATAGCTCTTTGTGGGACTACTTTACACTCAACGATATTTATAAGCTTAGGCTGATGTCAGACTTTGCAAATCGAGCGACTCACTGCTAGCGGTTCGCGAGACTCCGCGGTCGCATCGCGTACAGCGGGACGAGCGAGACGACGCGGCCCCGGACGCTACCGTATCCTACGACTCGCACAGTCTGACATCGGCCTTATAGGTTTAAAAAATCTCGTTCATTATCTGATTAATTAAATTTTGAGCTCTGAGATGCCATGTAGCAGGTTGAGCCACGTGGAAAGACTAACACGACCCCGCCCTCCCCCCTCTGGGATCAGTACGAAGTGCAGCTAGGGTCCCACTATCCTCCTTTTTCTTCAAGTCCTACTCCCATTCCCTAAAGCACTTTCTATCTTGACTTAAAGAACTTTGCTGAGCAGTGACTAGTGGAGTGGACACTTTGTTGAAAAAGCGGCCTAACCTCACAAAATTTTGTAAAATTCCTGAAATTATCAAAGCTCCTCAAAAATCCTGTCAGCTCCTCAGAATCTCTACAGACCGAATATTCCGGTGATAAGCTAGAGCTTTTGCTCGATGCTGTGCCTCTCCACAGAGAGCCAAATACGATAGCAATCTCATCTTTTTCCTTCCCCTCTTGTGAGGTGCATGACTGGATTAATGGGAGAGGTTGGAGATGATGCCAGTCGATCACAGATTAACGCCGGTCAAGATCAGATCTCACCCGCAGCATACTGTGCTTCTGAGCCGCTGTTCCGTTTGCTGCCAGACTCATCTGACAGAGGCCGCGTGGGTCAGAAGGGGAAAATATTGAGAAATTGTCCTCGCGCAAGTTGCTCTACAGATCATCAATAAGAGTTTATCGTCCCTGCAGTCGTAGGCGGAGCAGACTTTGTATCGAAAAAAAAATTCGGCACGATCAGCGCCAAGCGCTCTAGCATTTCTAGAACAACCATTGGCATCGTTTCACCTCTAACATCTGCGGCTAGATTCTCTGCTTACGCAGATAGCAAACTAAAGTCATAATGCTCCATGTCCATTTCGGGCGGGCGGGGGGGGAGTACATTCAAAAATTAGGAAACGCAATGGTCTGGTGAGCGTTAGGCCAAGCCAAGCAAAGGAGTGAAACGACAGGGAGAATACAAATTGCTCACAAGCTCCTCTAGAATCCCTTCCCTGCCTAGGGCTTAAAGCAACAGTCCAGGCAGGGTTTCAACCATTTGGTTTTCAAGTGGTGGAAACATGCCTCAGCCTGATTGGAGTTCATGGGAAATGTCACAAACTTCAAAACTTACCTCTGAAAGGCGTTGGAAGCAGTCGAAATCCTTCAAGAGGGGCGGATCCACCGATCCGTGGTGGGGCCGCCTCCAAGCAGCTGTGCAGAGCGCTTGCTCGACTAGCGGTCGTTGCGGGACCGCCGCGCTGTATTGAGATCCGGGAATGTCCATAAGATCGCAAACGTGAGGCTTCCAATTTCGAATTGCTCGCAAATACGCCCATGTATTTGGCAGCATGCATTGAGCTATTTGCCTAGCAGTTGCAGATTGGAGGCGCATTTGTACTGCGGGCGACGGTTTCGGACAAAACTACGTCCAAGCTCAGTAATTAAAACGCCTGAATTGGATGTCCCCCCACCCAGAGACTGAGCGACTATGTATGTATAATATATTGATTCCAAAACAGATGAATCACATGAAATTTGATACGTGGAACCCTCTTCTGTTCCAAAACAGCTACATTCAGGCAGTTTTGTCGTCGAACTTCATAACTTCACTATCGATCTCGAGCTGAACATCAGACGAAATGAAACATCAGGAAGGAACATTTTTGAGGTTATATAAGTGGATTTTATCTATCATGATGAAAGAGTATAGGGGATGAGATTACTGGTGTAATTTCTACCAAGCCAAGAAGTTACCGCAATTTTTAGTTTTTTTTCTTGGCTCGCAGAAATACTTTGACGTTTACTAGGTACCTTACTGCGAGACCACTCATTCGGATGTTGTCATCCTACTCGAAGAGGACTCACTACTAAACATCATTCAAGGAACACTCCGCAGCACGGTTAGTTTTTTTTAATTTCTATTATTTTTATTTTTATGCTTGTCAAAAACGACGTTGCTAAAAGGACGACCTCAAGGAACTTTTTGGAAATATTAGTGGCAAGTGGCGCGCTTACCACGCGAGCGGTCCGGGGATCAAATCCTGGGTCGTGAGTCGCCCGGGCCAACCAAGCCTTCCATCCCTCCGGGGTCGGTTAATTGGTACCAGACTTGTCTGGGAGGATAAAAACACTGACTTGTACATCGGCTGGCCCCCGCAAGTCATTGTATAGGCCACATCGCATTCAAACGCCACTACGAATGTACAAATGGAAGTAGAATGCGTGCCGCATCCCAAAAAGGGATTGATCAACGGCAAATGCTTTATCCTTTTTCCTTTATTTTATATGTGAGCCGGTCTCTGAAGCTGGAATATTTGTTCTGGGTGCACAGTTACCGCAAAATGAATTAGGAGACCTTTGTGTTCAGATGTCAGATGCGGTGAAAACACAGATCTGTGAGACAATTTTGGATGCGGTGAAATTCGTTGACTCGCAGGAATTGCAGGTTGGTTGTTCTCTTTATCACCTCTACATTAAAGGTCAACAGAATTCGTTTGAAACCTTTTGTTTAATAAGTCTCTCCTCTCACAGAAGTTGAGCCCTAGTTGGGACTTTTTCTTATGACACCTATGAATTCTAAAGAAGTAAAGTTCAGAAGACTAAAAATGTTTAAAAAAAATTAGAAGTGAATTGGTAAGTGAGGAAAAAGCTGTTGACTGCCATATCGAATGCAGGAGTGACCGAAAAATGAGACACCTTGCCCATTGCGCAAAAACGTTCGTCGCACAGGGTGCCGCTAGTGGTGAAAGTTTTACGGCAAACTATCCCAAAGTCCCATAGATGTTCTCCCATAAGCAGAAGCAGGCTCTCCCCACTGCCCTCACCTCCTCAAAATATGACGTCATCTTCCATCACCGTTGAGCTCAAGAAGGCCTACCGTAATCATCCCACTTTGAAGCTGCTGCGAAATTTCTTTGTTCTTTTCAGGACTTGCTTCCGAAGAACAATGCAGTTCATATCTGATGGCTTGCTTCCTAGAAACAGTGCAGTCCATATCTCGAAGTCTGTTTAGGAGGGGCTGCGGACTTGACGTAGAACTTGCCGCAGTTGACAGTCGTCGCGCGGTATCTCAGGCAAGGATTACGGAAGCCGGAAGCCAAGTCACTGGGAAATGTATGCGCAAAAGCGACTGGTTGCCTCAGTCCGCAGCCCCGCCTAATTAGATTCGAGATATGGACTGTAGCTCTAAATGTGCAAGACCCCTTCCGACCAGCGTTTCAGATAACGTCGTAATGGTCCATGATCCGTCAAGGACCAGTTGAGCTCGAACCGTGCACAAGGTTCCCATGGCAAATTCTTGTGATGTCCTTGGTGCAGAAAGCTATTATAACGTTTATTGATAGAATGGGATGTGCTTTTATTGTTGGGAGCAGTCGGTTGAGTTTAGCAAAGTGTGATTAATGCTGTCTGAAATGTGAAGTGGAGTGCCTCCTCTTTCTAGCCACCCCTGTATTTTTGACCGCTTCTATGAGACTGCTCTCGTCTCACAGTAGTGAAATACTCGTGGTTGGGCTAAGTCTAAATGAGTGTTGCTTTCTGCATCTATGGTCTTCCTACATCGAGTTTTCCCATGGGCTTTCCGTTTCTCAGAATTTGCTTGTAAGTTCTACTACAAAATAAACGTGCTAGATGTGAAATTAAATATTATGTTGCCCAACAAGTAGGGCCATTTTTCCAGACAGGACCTTTTTCCCTAACTAGCTAACCTTTTACCCTCTGTTTCGGAAAACGAGAAGAGCGTTAAGTGCGGACCACACACCGCAAGTGACGACAGCTTGGAAAAAGAGAGGAAGCCACGTTATTCTGTCGCTGTCGCACTCGACGCTTTTTCTCGTTTTCCCGACATAGGCGGTAAATAAGGTTGGCAAAGTTGTTTGAAAAAAAGAAAAACACAATGACTTTTAGAAGGCTAATTTACCTTTTTACAGCCAAAAAAAAAGGAAAGGTAAACAAAAACCGCTATTTTCCTTTAGTTACCAATTTTATAATTCATTTTTTTATTTTATTTATTTTTATATTTCATTTTTATTCATCCGTAAATCTTCCTGTTCTAAATGGAAACTCAATGGTGTAATGCCATGAATTTAGCTGAGACTCACAGCACTGTTTTTCATTGTACATCTTTCCATCATATAAAATTTAGCCAATAGACAAGTCCACTGGTAATCTGTGTCGTCTAACTCGCGACTCTGATTGAATGACGACGCTTTTTGATCGCAGCCGAGTTTCGGTGGGGCTCAGCCTTTGTGAAGTAGACGTTCCAGAGCTTGTGGCTTTTATTTTTAGTGAATGGCTTCCGCACGCTTTTTTGATGGTTACTGTATTGTAAAAAACGTGCATTCAGATTCAGCGGCTGAAAGAACCAGCCGCTACGTCCTCTCCATTGCCGAAGTCTGACGATGAAGCCGCATCTCCAGGATCATGGAGCGCCAATCTTGATCTTGTCTATCCACCGAGGTTCAGTGACGAGGTAACGTACCAACATTGTCTCATGGGTTAGAAGAAAAGGTAATGGAAAACTCACAGATTCGTTTTTGCATATATTTTGCAAATATTTTGCGGATAGTTGGAGCCCATCAACACCACTTTGAAGCCTTAAGTGATCAAACACATTTCGAGGTGAAACTTCCATGCAGAGAGGCAAGGTCTCTCTAGAATGTAGAATTCGACTTCTGCTAGTCTCCTACAATGATACGCCATGCATACGAACGTCATCTAGAGTCCTTGAAACAGTCTTTGATAGGATGCCGCCCAGCTGTTTTCGTCGACCTCCAGTGTTCTGTCCGAGTGGTCGGAGTGATAATTCTCCAGACAATCTGGTGCCACCTTAGTTACTAGGTATTTATGGGGGATAAGGTTACCCTGCGCCCACTTCACTGCACTGTGAAAAAAAATGTGAAAAGTTTCGTCTTCAGCCATTTTTCATACCTATTCTGGTTGTTTCGTGAGTGCAGAATGTTCCAGGATGTAGTGTTTGGTGTTGACGGAGGTCTGCTCTTCAACGGCGCTCCAGCCGATAACGTCGAACATCCACCAGCGTTGAACACAAGTGTTCTTAACACGAAGGTTAGCAAATGGCTCTTGCTAATAACTCGTCTAATTTATTTGTGATTTTATTGATATTATTTATTTTAACGTTTTTTAAAGTTATGTTGATTCCTCTTTAAATGAATGAAAGACTAGGGAGTGGGTTTATTGAAGCAAGGAAGAGTGACTTGTCAATTACGAGTGGAGGAAAGCGTACTTTCTCTTTCAAAGGCACAGCCCAGGCAGAAGTCGTGGAGCGATTCCCTTTGCTATAGACAGAATAGAGGACTGAGATCCCTAGAGAACAATCACAGATGTGCCACCGTGCATGGAAACCACCCGGCAAGAGTGCTAGAGCCTTGCAAAGTATGCTGCAGCAGCTGCAATGTTCGCAGGCTGTTGTCTGTTGCACTCTCTCGCTTCATACTCTCTACTCGTCTCTTACTGCCTTAGCACAGCCGCATTACTGAGATAGCCAGCCCCAGACCCAAACATTTCCAACAGATTCGTACCATTCCCTAACCGAGGCTAAGAAGTTCTTAGTAAGAGCCTGTGATGGGCAGATTTGCTGTCGATGCCGCCATGCATATCGTGGGTATTGATCTGTAACATTGAACTAGGTCAGACAGAGATAGATATTTTCAAGTTTTTTTTTAGAAAAAA